GGTGTTTTAAACCCTTCCCACACTCTTGCAATATTTTAAACAATGTTTCTAAACGCTCTAAAAGAGCACAGAATGTCATGATTTCAGCTCTCTGCCTCCTCTGCTCTTTGCCACCTGCAAGCGCTCTTGGCCACGCCCAATTCTCCGCTCTGCACCCTAAACATCTGATACAACACTGACTGATCATGCACAGAGAACAGCTGATCAGCTGCAGCAGGAAGTTTATCATGCAGTACGGGCATGCAGGAGGTGCTAAATAATTTAAAATAATTTATTTTAAATAAAAATTCCATGTCGATCATGCGGCTCATCCATCAATCAGCCAATTGTGTGTCATGTCCGCTCTTATTTTGAAAAAATGCGATAGAGCGAGTCCGTGATAAATGAACCGCGAAGTAGTGAGGGACAAGTGTACTAAAAACTAGACTCGGCATTTCAGAAGCAAGTACTGAACCTGTTCTCTGCTCCTTTGTCAGACTTCCAGAAGTTCTGGTGCACGGTGGATCAGTTTCTGCTCCTTTATGAGTCGGACCGATCTGCAGAACCCTACATGCAGATCAGTGTGAAGGACATCGTGTGTCTGGGCATCAGTCGACCCGATTCATCCAGCAACAACAACGGATTTATTGATAGGTTGGGTACAGCTCAGTTACGCCTGTCAGGTTGTTGTTATGCCGTAACTCAGAACGTTCTTTTTTGGACTGTTAGGTTCCGCTACACCTTTGAGTTGTATCTAACTTCAGAGAAACTTCAGCTGTTCGGTTTGGAGACAGCAGATGAGCTGCACAGCTGGACCAGAGCCATCGGACAGGTCGGAACTTCCAATTATGTTTTCGTCTTCATTAAGATAGATTAATAAAGAACAATTCTAATTTAATTATAACAAGATTCTGTAGCTTGATGGCGATTCCTCTGTCACTTTAACTGTGATGTCATCGCCCCCCTCAGGCTGCGACTCCCCTCAGCTGCCACTGCCTGCTGACCAGGGAGTTTGAGCGGGTCGGGCTCCTGCGTTACCGAGCCATGTTGGACCCTCAGCAGTGGAAGGAGGCTTATTTTGTTCTGCAGAAGTCCAACCTGTTCATCTGTCCCCGGAAGGATGGAGCGGCTGAGGACATCATCAACCTGAACCGGCTGCAGGAGCTGAGTCAGTTCCCAAGACCTGGTTCTGGTGCAGTTCTACAGGTCGAAACGGTTCTGTCAGTGAAGCTGTGTGTTTTGTGTTGAAGGTGTCACATCGGATGGAGAAAACCATGAGAAGAAGGACGTCCTGGTGTTGGTGGAGAAGGGCAGGTGAGATGGGTTTCTCTGCAGGATGGTTCTGGTTTTGATATTTCGTCTTCATCAATGGGTCCGTTCTCTTCTTCAGAACCCTGCACCTGCAGGGCATGGGTCGGACCGACTTCTCTCTGTGGTACTCAGACATCCAGCGGGCAGCTGGAGGGAAAGGAAACACTCTGAGGGAGCAGCAGCTGAGCAGGAACAACATCCCCATCATCGTGGACAGCTGCATCGCCTTCATCACGCAGTATGGTGAGGGGGAGGAGCTTAACCTCTGACCTGAGAACAGTTCATCAAAACCTTGTATTTTGACTCTGCATCCGTTTCTCTTCACTGAGGTTCTGGTCCTGTGCAGGTCTGGGCCACGAGGGGATCTACAGGAAAAACGGAGCAAAGTCCAGGATCCGGCTGCTGATGGAGGAGTTCCGTAAAGACGCTCGGAACGTCAAACTGCGGATTGGAGACCACTTCATCGAGGATGTGACCGACGTTCTCAAGAGGTTCTTTCGAGAGATCGACGACCCGATCTTCATGGCCGAGATGCACCCGCTGTGGCAGGAGGCTGCCAGTGAGTCCACCAGGGGATCTGGTTCTTCTGGACTCCATGCTTTTATTAAATCACTAAAACATGAATGAGGGGCAGGACGGGTCCAGATCAGAACCAGAACTCCGTGTGTATTATTTTTAAACATATTTTATATATATTTTTTAAGTTTTAATTAAAAACTAAAATGTCCAATAATAAACTTTCAGAACTTTCTCAGAAGTTCGCCAGGTTGGACCGCTACAAAGAAATCATCCGGTCCCTTCCCCGGGTGAACCGGACCACTCTGGCTGCTCTCATCAGTCACCTGTACAGGTAAGCTCCGCCCACAGCAGCAGCAGCAGCTGTAGCTTGAGCTGCTGAGGTCTGACCCGTCTTCTCCCTAATAGGGTCCAGAAGTGTGCCGACCTGAACCAGATGTGCACCAAGAACCTGTCGCTGCTGTTCGCCCCGAGCTTGTTCCAGACAGACGGGAAAGGAGAACATGAGGTGAAGATTGTGGAGGACCTGATCGATAACTACCTGTACGTCTTCGAGGTGAGGAACTTCTGATGGTACCGACTTGATGGGACAAGTAGTTCTGATAGTACCAACTGGCTCATAATTCATGTTCTTCTGGTGTTTCAGATCGATGAAGATCATCAGACTCAGATCGAGCTGGAAATCAGCCTCATCACCAGCTGGAAGGACACACAGGTGCACACACGCGCACGCACGGTAACAGGTGATGGATCAGCAGTTTGACTGACAGCTTGTTTCTGCAGCTGTCTCAGGCCGGTGATCTCATCATTGAAGTTTATCTGGAGATGAAGATCCCCGACTGCTGCATCACTCTGAAGGTACGTCCATCAACCATAAGCTTTCACCTGACAGGTGTGACACGTGACCTCTGACCAACCCCGCAGGTGTCTCCCACTATGTGTGCCGAGGAGCTGACCAATCAGGTTCTGTACATGAGGAACATCCCGGCCGGAGACAAAGACATCTGGATGACCTTTGAAGCCATCGAGGATGGACAGCTGGGTGAGTGGGTTCTACTCTACCTGTATACCTGTCACACCTGTCTGTCCATCTCATGCCATGGATGAACGTCGGGCCGCTCCTACCTGAATGGCTTGTCGTCCTTTTAGAGCGACCTTTACACCCCAAAGAGAAGGTTCTGGAGCAGGCGCTGCAGTGGTGTAAGATGGCCGACCCAAGCTCCGCCTACCTGGTGGTGAAGAAGGTTCCTAAAGGAGAAGGCATCAACATCCTCACCTGTAGGTGACACACCTGTACATCTAGAGGGTGACAGTCATGTGGCAACCAGTAAACTGTTCACCAGAACAGTCTGTCTCTGTCCCTGACTGTCTCTGTCCCTGACTGTCCTTGTCCCTGACTGTCTCTGTCCCTGACTGTCTCTGTCCCCAACAGCCTATATGAGTGAGATCATGAAGGTCGGCCTGTTGAGGTGTCGAGAAGAACCTCCGAAGCTCCTTCAGGGAACCAGGTTCCAGGAGAGAACGTTCCAGATCCGAGATCACAAACTTCTGCTGCTCAAAGACAAGAAGGTGAGCAGGGTTCTGGGGTTAGGATCCGAGCCTGGGAGAACCCTGACTGGTTTCTTGTCTCTGTTCAGAGTATCAAACCGGAGAAGGAGTGGCCTTTGAAGTCCATGAAGATCTACATCGGGATCCGCAAGAAGTTGAAGGCTCCGAGCAGGTACCACCGCAGGCCAGGCTCACAGGCGGAATGGTTTTGTGCTGTGGTTCTGATAAAGGTTCTGTCTCTGCAGGTGGGGGTTCACGGTGATGTCGGACAAACACCAGCTGTAAGTGTCAGATCGGAACTCACGTCTGCTTTAACACAGAACCAACTTTCCTGTTCAGAACCTCCTGCTGATCCAGGTTCTGACTGTCATCAGACCTGCTACTGAGTCTAGATCCACTTTGTGTCCCCCCAGGTTCCTGTGCTGCAGTTCTGAGGCTGAGATGTGGGACTGGGTCACCAGCTTCCTGAAGGCCCAGGTCAGTTTGCCGGTCCTCCTGCAGACAGATTCAGAACCACAGCATCTCACTGCAGATTATGGTTTTTGTTCAGAACACTGACCCAGGTCCTGCCGTGCTGCGGCGCCACTCCTCGTCGGACCTCTCCAAGCAGAAGTTCGGCACAATGCCGCTGGTTCCGATCCGAGGAGATGAGAGCAACAGCAGCATGTTGTCAGCCAACCAGACACTGGTACGTGTCAGCTGGACTCAGATCACTTCTTGGTCTTTAATTGCCAAACCGGACTTGGTTCTGGGTTCTGTTTGAGATTCTTTACTGATCTTCCCTCTGCAGAGGAAACTTCACGACCGGAGGACCCTCTCCATGTACTTTGTGAGTTTGAATCTGTCTGTTCTGATTTTTCTTACTGTTCGGCAGGGGCGATTCTAGGATCTGACCTTTAGCCCCCCCAGTGATGACAATGGCTATTGGCTTGAACAACATGGTGGCCGTTGGTGTCAGAAGCATTTGTAATGTGGGGGTGGAGAGATATACTTGTGGGGTGGTCTGGGGGTTCTCCCCCAGAAAATTTTGATTAAAGTAGATGTTGTTTCCTGCATTCTGGTGTAGTTTGTTTAACATCTATGTTTACCTACATAAGTAAACATTTGATTCAACAACTATTGTAGAGAACAACAAGAAGTAGCCTGACCAACAGCTCTCCTTGTATGAATAGAGCACGTTCCGCTTCGCTCACGCACCCCCCCACCCCCCCAGGTCGACAACTCTAGCACTAAGATGCGCTGTAGCTAAGATGCTTCAGACGTGGAGCTCCCGCTTTACGTTACACAACCTAATAAACACTTTGTATAAAATAATTTTAGTGTTAACTGATCATAACAAAGACTTCAACCAGAAGTGACAACATATATCAACATTTACAACACACAAAACAAAGCACAACTAGCTTTAAGCATTAACCTTTAACTTAATGGTTAAAGATTACAGTACAATGTAATTATGACAGAAAATGGAGGATTTACTTGTAGTTACCTTCGTACTTGTAGTTACCTTCGTACAGATGAACATGTGGTACTTCCTGTTTATAACTTATATTCAGCTATCGTGAGGTCGGCCGCACCAAAAAAAAATACCGGCCCATTTAAGAGGGTCCTCATTTATTCCAAATTTGTTTAATATTTTGGTGAATCTAAAGTTTGAGAACTGTGTTTTCAAATCCTAATGATGGTTTCTTTATCTTTCAGGGGTGCTTGATCACCCCCCAAAAAAGGCTAATATCGCCACTGCTGTTCAGTTATCCCCAGTTCTGGGCGTTTCTATTTTGTGTGACTTGTTGCGAAAAACCAGAACTTGTCAGAACTAACCCGTTCTCTGTATCTGTGTCCTCAGCCCATGAAAGTCCAGCAGGACTCGTTTGAGGAGAGGTCCGAGTCTCCGGACCTGCCCGAGCCGCTTTACGAGGAGGTCGGTGACTTCGGTCTGCAGGTTCTAAAGTCTTTGGAGACCAGCTTCAGATCCAGCAGAGCCGCAGAGACCCAGGAGGTCCCGGACCAGCTACAACTAAGACTGGTCCTGTCAGAAACGGGACATCTGGAGCAAATGGTGGTCCCAGAGGACGTCCAGCCAGACAGCGGCGTTGAGGAGACTCCGGAGCCGGGCAGCAACGGAGAAGGAGCGGTGAAAGAGAGGCAGCAGCTTTCACAGCAGCTCCTCCTGCAGGAGCTGTCGTCTGCCTTCACCAAGAAGATTGAGGAGGAGGAGGAGAGGCTGTATGACGTCTGAAGCAGAACCGGAAGGAACCTTCAGACGGGTCGACTGGCTCCGTTATGAGCTTGGTGGCTCGGTTAGTGTGGGCTCCGAACTGGGAGAAGCAAACCTGGGGTCAGAGGTGAGGAACTGTCCCAGATCCTCTGGTTCTGCTCAGAGAACAGGAAGTGGTTCCCACCTGCGGAAAGGTGAGACAGGACGCTCATTCCACCTGATGGAGCAGAACTGACGCGATGTGAAGAACCTGCAGAAGCTTTTTTTTTTTTTTACTCTGATGAACAAGCAATAAACTCTACTAGTTTAATAATAAAATCTTTGATCTGTTTGAAGCAGGTTTTTTATTTTATTTTTTATAACTATTCGCCCGTTTGCATTTCGTCAGGAAATAAAATAAAACAAAAACAACTGGACTTCTATTCTGAAGGTTTTACCTTCCAGCCAAGGATCTTTCTAAATTCAAATAATTCAAGAGTTCCATAAAAACACTTTTTATTTAAGCTAGATTCACATCCAGATAAATCTCCCCCTCCTCCCTCCTGAGGGTCATTAGGGTCTTTGTGGCTCACAGATGTTTTGGTCACAAGCATGAAGATGTGAATTAGCGGAACTGACTGAACATCAGGCTTAATGCAGCTCTGCAGGGTTTCAAAAGTTGATTTCAGTTGTTTCTCTTTTGACGTAAATGGCTTCCTTCACCCCGTTCTGAAAAAAATCTGTCTTCTGTCCAAAATATGAACATGTTGGTCCTTAAAGAGTGTCCCTTATCCTTGAGGTGTAGATGCACAGCTGAGTCTTGTCCTGAAGAGCTGAGATGTTTAGTTCCTCCAATATATTCTGAACATTCCTCGCTGCACGGACCTGCAGATGCCACACTGCTCAGTTTGGGGGTTCTCTCAGGAAAAACCAGTCCGTCTGAGAGTTCCGTTAGGTTTGAAACACACCAGGATGTCATGGAAGGAGAACGCGAGTTTCTCAGATACTCCAGCAACATGACATCTATTTCACCAGAGTGGTTGCTAACGACAAGGTGCCAGTTTTGGACCATTTGGTGGACATGGGAAGAGATGGAAGCAACACTGAGGTGAACAGGAATCCATCTCACGCAAATCAGAACCTTCCGTTTGACTCTCATCCCCCACTGGAACACAAACCATCCATTATCAGATTTCTACACCATCGGGCCCAAACATGTCCACAGGAGGACATGGAGAATGAGCAGAAACCTGTGGATATTCTAACTGGACTTTTGTCAAAGCAGCGAGAAAATCTGAAAAACGAGCCGACGAGAAGAGAACCTGTAGAAGAACAAACCATGATGCTGCAGTATCTGAGAAACTCAGACGCAGTTTCTTCAATCTTCGTACATTTCAAACTTTACAGGACCCTCTGATTGAGGCTGGTCCACCCAAGATGTTCATATTTTGGACAGAGAAGACGGGAGGTTTAAGAGGCGGGTGAAGCAAGACACATCAAACAAGAAGAAACAACGATGGAGCAACATTTCTGCACAACGTTCTTAGTTAAATACGGATGAATCGTTGCCATGACTACACTCGATCTCACACGTTGAACACGTCAACGTCGCTTTATTTTTCAGAGAAACGTGTCGCCGCAGAAACATTCAGAGGTGGTTTTGGTTCTGCTCGGACACGGGTGGAGTCGACCAATCACAGCCGTGGGTTTGAGCATTTCTACCAAACGGAACAAAGCCTGGACCCGAGCCGATCCAAGGATCCGGATCTTTCTGCTGGAGACGAGTTCCACTGTTTGTTGCCACGGAGGCAGAGACTGTTGCATGTCTGTAGCTCAACCTTAGAGGCGGAGCTTCAACCGTCTGCAGGACAGGAGTGCAGTAAAAAAACGCCTGTCCTCCTGTCCATTCACTACTTCTTCTTCTTGACCTGCAGCGTCTGGGCGCCGTCAGCAGACATTCCGTCCAGCATCCCTACGGTCTTCAGAGGTTTGTAGGTGGCAGATTTAGGAACTCGTTTTCCTTTTAGAGACACGATGTGAGGAAGCAGCGGCGGCGTCCGCAATCTGATGCCTGCTGCTGCCGGACCGTGGACCCTCACCTGAACCTGGTCCCCCTCCACTGCCGTCAAAGCTACCCAACCTGCACACAGGTGAAACAGGGACAGAAATACAGGTGAGACAGGGTCAGAGATAGAGACACAAGCAAAAAGATTTAGACACAAAGACGAGACAGGATCAGAGACAAGTGAGACAGGTAAGGCAGGTACAGAGAAAAAACATGAGACAGGGACAGATAAAACTGGTTCAGAGACACAGGTGAGACAGGTTCAGAAACACAGGTGAGACAGGTTCAGAAACACAGGTGAGACGGGTTCAGAAACAGGTGAGACGGGTTCAGAAACACAGGTGAGACAGATTCATAAACACAGGTGAGACAGGTTCATAAACACAGGTGAGACAGGGGAACCTGTGTGGCCTCTGTGCTGCGGCTGCAGGTGATGCGTTTACCTGCAGATGACAGTGTGATGTCAGCAGCAGCTTCCAGGTAACTTCGGCCCTCCAAGGTGAAGTCCTGAGGGACCAAGGCAGGAAACTGTTTCATCCTCTCCGAGCCTCCTGCAGGCACCTGAACGCAGCACAAACGGGGGAGTTACAGCACCTGAACGCAGCACTCGGCGCTCCCTCAGCCTGCGACCATGTGACTCACTCCCAGCAGGATGTCGCCTGCGTGTTTCTCGTAGACTTTGTCAGCTTTGTCCAAATGGGTGATGTGGACTGGGACACGATTAGAAGCCATGACAGAAAACCAGCAGGACTGTCCTCCCTGCAGACAACCAATCAATCAGCAGATTAATCAATAGATCACACACTGTTGAAGGTGTAGCAGAGACGGTGGCCTTTAAGGGACATCTGAGACCAGCTGAATGTTTTCTACAGAAATTTATTCTATAAACACCATGTGATCGTGTGACTACATGTGAACCAGCTGAGTCTTTTTATTGGTAAATATCAACATGTCGGATGTTTCAGCGACGTCTCACCTGCAGGAAGTCGATCCTGGCCAGAGCTCCCACAAACAGACTCATACCGGGTTTCAACACGAACGTTCGTGGGATGATGGCTTGAGTCGGAACCACCAGCTGGACCTCGTGGTCCTGCAGCAGATGGAGGATCTGAAACGTAGACATAACGTCAGCTTTTCAGTTCTAGCTTGGACCCGACTGATCTAGGATGAGGCTGACGAAGATGTTCTCACGTCGCGTTCCTTCATGATTCCCGGCGTGTCGAACAGCCAGTGGGCGTCCTTCACCTCGTTGAAGCTCAGCTCCTCACGTGGACTGCTGACAACTGGGGGAGCCACAAAACATGCTGACTTTACTAAAATCGAAACACTGCTGTAATTTTTCTGTTATTATCATTAATTTGAATATTATTCTCTAAACTCATGTTGTAGGCGGAGCCATCGTAAAGGTCTACAGGGTTTGACCTTTAAACCCTAAAGCAGAGGTCTGCAACTTTTGCAATTAGGAGTGATTTTTTTCCATCTTCTGCTAAATATATGAGCTCCAAAATCAGAAAATTATTCTATTTCTAGAGTATACAACACAGCTTGTGTAGCACTGCGACAGATTTTTATTTAGGTTTTAAGCTGAAAGTAAATAAACTGTTTGGTTCTAAACAAGAAAATGACACTTTCTTGTTTATTTTTTACCTATTTTAGTTCATGTTTTTCTAGAAAATTGTGTTTTCTGAATAAATAAACTATTAACTTGCATCTTAATGTCATAAGAAGAGCAAACATAAAAGAATCCAGCAGGTTGTTGGTTATTTATCATCAAAAATCTCCCAACGGAACAAACTTTAATTAATTTAAATTACATAAGGTACTGGAGTAAATCCAAAACTGCTTCCTGCTTGCAGTTAAAAATGCTGTAAAACTTTTTTTTTTTTGTGAACATTTTATGAAATCTTTGTATAAGAATCGTATATAAAGAATAGAGCGAGCTAACAAACAAATAGCTCAAGGGTGAAACCAGTGACTACATTTTAAAACACCCGAGTGAAAACTTAAACCAAATTTGGATGTTTCTTGTTTGAAATGATGGGAAGCTGAGTTCATAATGCATTTATAATTACCGTAATTTCCAGACTAGAGCGCACCCGAATATAAGCCACGCACACTAAATAAAAAATAAAAAATATTTTTTGTACATATATAGACTACGCTTGCATATAAGCTGCAGGTGTTCACGTTGTAACATGAGATATTTACACTGAAAGATTTTTAAAAAAACCTTTTAATTAAATACGTATCAGTATATATGTACAGTAAATGTTTTTTTTTTTTTTGAGCAACGCCTTTAACACGGCTGGTTAAAAAAAATAAAAATCCATAAATTAGCTGCAGCATTGTATAAGCCGCCGGGTTCAAAGTGTGTGAAAAAAGTAGCGGCTTATAGACCGGAAATTACGGCATTTATTACAAGGACCCACTTCATAAACGCTGAAGAGCCGGACGTGGCTCCAGAGCCACAAGTTGCAGACCCCTGTTCTGAACCGTACGAAAACTTTAAATTTCTTTGGTCACTGAAGGATTCAGATTCTTTTTCTGAAGACAGACTACATTAAAAACACACGATCAAGAGGATGTTGCGTCTTCCATATAGTAACGAATGATTAAAGTGGGCGTGGCCTTTGAGTAAAAACACAATTTTAAGGTTCCTCGGTGTCACTAAACGTTAGCTGTTCCTTCATGGGTCCAGCTTTGGACCCGAACATTCACAGCCCGGCTGCTAACCAACCAGGCTGCCAATTTCTGATTGGAGACGATGACATCACACATTACTCGTCCAATCACAGCTCACCTGGCATTGTAGAATCTGCATCTTCGTTTTCTCCAAATGCCAAACTGTCCGGGTCAAACTGGATCTCATTCAGCTTGGTTCTGTTGTGCCGGAACGTTCGACCAACGCGGCCTGAACAGGTGAACAGGTGATCAGCGCCGCGTCTGATCCCGCCCCTCACCCTCCCACAACCCCATCCCCCTCCTCACCCACATCTTACCCACTAAGTATCCGTGTTTGCTCAGCTGCTGCAGCTTCTTCAGCTCGTTGAACTCAAGCTCCGCCTCCGTCTGATGCGCCGACTCCTTCAGGCGCTCAAGACGCTTGAACATCCTGTACGGGGTGGGGTTGATGATGGGGAACTTCAACAGGTTCAGGGTGGTCCCTGAACGCAACACGGTGAGGAGAAAGTGTAAAGAGAGAACATTTACGGCAGCGAGAAAAGCAAACCTGAAAACGAATCAGGAACTAAAAACTGAAAAACGAGTATCTGGATTAAGAAGACCACCAATATGTCCAGGTTCTGGCACTGACCGGGCCACGGCGAGATGGTGGCCTTGCCGATCACATCGACGGCTCTGGACTTGCAGTAATCGGACTCGAGCAGCGTGTTGAAGAGCGTGGACTTCCCAGAGTTGGCGCTGCCCACCATGTACACGTCTCCTTTGTACTTCCAGGACCGCTGCAGTCTGGAGATCAGGGCCTCGATGCCGTAGCCGGTCTTGGCACTGATCAGGTGGACATCCGTCACCTGAGAACTGAAGCTGGCGTCCTGACAGTACTGGGACAGCTGCCGTTTGATGCGCTGCAGGTAGTTGGGCGCGTCTTTGGGCAGAAGGTCAATTTTGTTGCCGAGGACGACAACGTGCTTGTTGGTTCCCACCAGGCCTGGCAGGTCAGGAACGATGGAGTCCGGCAGGTCCAGAAGGTCTACAAGGAGTAGCACCAGCGCCTTCTTGGTGCGGATCTGCTGCACCACATCCCGGTACTGGTCGTGGGACAGCTTCAGGTTCAGGGCCTTGTGGTGGTAGTTGAGGAGGTGGCAGCGCTGGCAGCTGGCTCCGCCCAGTTTCTCCTCCTGCAGCAGGACCTTGTACTTTTCGCTGGGCAGGTAACCGGGGACGTCGCTGGCGGTGCAGTGCAGAATGGCACCGCAGCCCGAGCAGCAGGTGTCGCTAATCGGCACGTCCACGTCCGGAGTCCCAAAGATCTTGTGCTCGCCTTTCTGCTCTTTCTTCTTCTTCTTCTTATTGGACTTAACGAGGTTCTCGTCCAACGGGAAGTCCGCATCCTGGAAGTCAATGAGGGAGTTTAGCTCCGCCTCCTGCAGGGCATCACCCTTTAACACCTGCAGCTGACGCTCCAGAGACCTCTGGTATTTCTGAAGGGAGACCTGAGCAACAGGAGCTGGTTCAGAAGTAGCCAAGGAAATTCTGAGCTGATGGATGAGCTGCTCCTCATAACGGGGGTCCTCCTCTGGAACTGGACCGGGAGAGACAAAACAAACTCAGGAGGATTCTACAGGTCCAACTTCTGCAACACACCTGTTCTACACACAGGCTCACCTGAACAACGAGACTCTACTGGAATGGATATTTTAAAAGATGAAACCAATGAGATGAAACTGAAAATATTTCTCTATCAGGAAGTTGAAATAAATATTTTAATTAAAGTTAATAACTAATTCTCTAACAAAAACAGCTCGGACTTTATGTAAAACTTAAATAAAAACGAAATGCAATGACCTTAAACCTCATGAACTCATAATTTATTCACAATGGTGTAGATGAACAGATGCTGGGATATATTCATCATTTAACGCGAGTTCCTCATTTTTCTGGACTGAATAAAACGTGCACTGAATTTAAGGAAATGCAAAGTGAGACGTCATTTAAATTTGACCCATCAAAATGAATGCGGTCATTTATTTACAGAATCAAATTTAACATCAAACATTTACATTAATTTGGCAAATTATGAAAATAACAATATAAGCAATCAATCAGGAAAAATCATACGGCCATGATTTTTCCGTTGCTGCACCACAGACATGTATAAAACTGTACAACTATGACTTTTACCCACACGGATGTGAATAAGCACTTTACACAGACATTTCTAAATATCTGGGAGAATTTCTACTTCATAGGAAAGTTTAAAGATGGAAAGAAGTTTAGAGGGAGTAAAGGATGGTGTGTGAGGGAAATTAAGTGTTTTCCAGAACCGACACTCTCCATCAGAAGCCCAGCTCGCCTCGGTACGCTTGGTAGGAAACTTGACCCATTACCTCTCTGATGATAATCAGCAGATATGGTGTTCCGTTAACGCTACCGGTCCAGCGTCTCCTTAGAATGGCTGTTGCCCGTCAGAAGTAGTGGCGAGGCTCTGTTCGACACACATTCACCTCAGTGGAAAATGTTATAATCCCATGGAACTCGGAAGAGCTTCGTTGTCATGTCAGGAACTCCAACAGCACTCCATCAGAACTCCAGAACTCTAGAAGTCTGACAACTCTCCAACTCTGAGTACCTGTGTGTCTCTCCGTGTCCCTGTGAGTCTGTGTAGACCAGGAAGTACTGACATTTTAAAGGCTCTTTCCCGGTTCACTTTTTGGGATTTTTCATTGGTCAGAAACGACCAGAAGGGGTGTGTTTTTGTGACGTAAGGGGTTAGAGACAGCGAGAATTGTTATGAGACAGCTCAGAAATGTTCTCACAGACCGAGAGGGTTCTGTTTTGGCGTGCCTAAGACACAGGTGCAAAACATCTCTATTTACGTCTGAGAGGATTCTAAAACATGACAGTTTTAACATAACAACTTGTTTTTCGTTTGACTGTAACCTTGTAAACGCACACACTTGCTCATTCAAAAGCAGAAATCAGAAAAATGCATAAACTCTGCACAGCTTTTAACATGAGAATAAAATCATTACTCAGTTAATAAAATTGATTAGTTCACTGCAACATCTAAAATGGTTTGAACTAAGACACTTTGATTATCAACATTTGTAAGATAGTAATGATAATAAAAAGAGAGTGTTCTTTTCACTTGAATCTTCAAGAAAGAAAGTCTCAGGATGGGTGAACCTGTATTTATGGAGTCAAATACATGAAATGACAGCTTCTGTCCCACAAGGTTCTAAAGGTCAAGAGTTTTGACCTTAGACTGGGTTTCGACGTAGGCTTAGTCCACTACAATGGAGCATAGTGAACTTATCGCACGCTGAAACTAAGAAATTTTACCTAATTTACATTAAAAATAAAATAAAATCAGGTTATTCTGAATATGACAGCTGCAACTTATTTGTTTAAACTTGTTCCAGGTCCATGTTTCCTCTGTGAAGCATCCCCTCTTCTTTTAAAACCAGCCTCTAAACGTCCAAGACCTGAGGAGACCAGTTGAAGGTTTTAGAGGATCTGAAAAGACCAGTTGTTGGGAGTCTTTGGAAGACCTGAGGAGACCGGTTGGAGATTTTAGAGGACCTGAGGAGACCTGTTGTTGGAGGTTTTGGAGGGACTGTTGTCCCATTCTGGTCTGATGGAGGACTCTAGTTGTTCAACATTCCTGTATCTTCTTTGCTGGACGAGAACAGATGTTCTGAAACCTGACAGTCTTTCCATATGTATAAGATGACATGCTAGTGGTACTAATGCACCCCCATACCATCAGAGAGGCAGGCTTTTGATGGTATTTCTCCTCTTTACTGACAGTTTGTCAGTAAATTAGACCTTATAACTAATGACCTCACAGAAACAAACAAGGTTAAACGGTTAAACCAGGTACCTGAGACCAATATCATTAAATGTTCTGGTTCTGATCAGACAGGTTTGTTCTGCTCCAACAGTTCGGTTCTAACGAGTTGACCCTCCAAAATGGCGACGGTGCTGACCTCTATGGGTTTAAACAGAACCGAACGGAACCGCAGATTAAAACCTATTGAACTGAACCCGAACACACACGGGCCTCACCTGCACAGTCCAGGAACACGAACTCCTCCTCCAGGTTTGTGTCTACGGTGCAGCTCTGGACCTGGGTCCGGTTCGAACCGCGGCGCGGCCGGCGCACATCGCCCGCCGCGGAGCTGAGACTCCTCCACAGCTGGCGGCGGACACACACCTGGAACACCTTCAACATGTCTCGGACGGCACGCGCTCATTCAACTGGACTTCATTTCCGACGGATGTGATGTCATATACGCTTGTTTTGGTTCCGGTAGTTTGTTCCATGGGTGTCTCAACGCAGCGACAGATGACTCACTCTGACAGAAATTCATGAGCTGAAATAAAACAAAGTTTCTGATCTTTGTTGATCTGTTGAAAATAAGTTGTTTCGGGGTTATTATTAGGAAATCGTTTAAAATTGTTTTTATTTTGCCTTGAATATTTTCACTTTAGTCGGATCTTTGTGATGTTCAGTGTGAAATTTGTAATTAAATTGAAGTAATGAAACAAAAACAAAAAAACTGTCCAGATGACCTGAGTGAGAATGATTGGATTTGATACCTGGATGATTGAGCATGAACTTTTTTGCCTGAGGTAGACCACTTTTACATTGGGCTCTTTCTGTGGGAGTGAGACATCTTCTCTAACACGATCTCTGTCGTCTGGGTAAACATTCTGTCGGAGTGAGACCTCTTATCTCAGAGGATCTTTGCCTCCTGGTCGCACTATTTCTTTTGGACCCAGTTCTGATACTTTTCAGGCAAAATGCTGAATCTGATCCGGTCTCTGAGGCCAGCTGCCGTCCTGCTCAGAACCGCTTCTACCGCTGCACAGGTGAGTCCACCAGTAACTCCACGCCTGCACCAGAACCAAAACCACCAGCCCAACAGAACCGTCGGATGCTGCAGAAACAAACACGCCTCTTTTATTACTATACGGATAAACAAGAACTCACGCATGCTCATTGGTTACTCGGTGTTTGGGTCGTGTTTGTGTGCTTCGGTTGGGATATTTGCGCGGCACGGTTCGGTCTGGTTCGGTTGTTTGCGTCGCTGATCTCTGATCAAAGTTAAAGGTCAGAAAACTCTAGTTTAAGATTAACCCGCAGCTCGGGGGAGTTCCTGAACGCATCATGGCGTTCAGCGTCATATGTCTGTGTTCAGCGTCCCCTTGTAGAAATAGTGTGCATGTGCTTTGATGCACGCGCGCGTTCGTGGTCCACAGTCACGTATCAGTCCACTGTAGTGGTGTCAAATATCCAGCAGGGGGCAGCAGAAACCGGGTCAGAGTTCAGAACTTTAGCTTCAGTCAGAAAATCTAGACTTCAAATGTTTCTATCGGCTGAAGTAGACTCGGGGGTAAGAGACTCCCTCAGGTCTGACCCGGTCCACTTCAGGTTCTGAAGTCTCCGGTCCTGGTCTCCTCCAGATCTGCTCTATATCATCAGGGAGATGGTTGGTCGTGGTGAACAGAGTTGAGTCAAAAAGGCAAATGTCTGGATTTACTGGTCTGTCTGCATTTTAACCTTCGCCTGTGGTGATGAGGTTCGGATCATGACCTTTAGGACCAGATCCTGGATCCAAGCGGCTGAAATGAGCTCCCTTCTTAGGGTGGCCGGGCTCAGCTTTAGAGATAAGGTGAGGAGGAGCTCCGTGACACAGGGGGAGCTCGGAGTAAAGCTGCTGCTCCTCTGCATCGAAAGGAATCTGTTGAGGTGGTTCTGATTAGGACGCCTCCCCTCTGGTAAGAGACCGTGGAGCTCTGGGATTGTGCACCCTTCTCTGACTTGGGAACACCTTTGGGTCCCCTAGGAGGATCTGGAGAGTGTTGCTGGGGAGAGTTGAGGTTTAGTGACCCCACCCACCCTCACACCAGTTTTGTCCATTTTGCCCTCAATGCCTCATTACATTTTAAAAAAATTAATTGTTTTGTTTTTGTGTCAGAGTGACACCTCTGTGATCTTCCACCTCCTCTCTGCAGCCTTGTGCGCGCCTCTCTACAGGGCCCCAGCAGGAACACAGAACCTTCTATGAGTTCCGCACCTACAGCATCCGCCCGGACCAGAACGCCGCTTTCCTGAAACTGACAAATGAGAAGATCCACCTGCGCACCGCTCACTCGGAGCTCATTGGCTACTGGAGCGTGGAGTACGGCGGCCTCAACCAGGTCTTCCATATCTGGAAGTACGGTGAGGATTCTGCCGTTACAGATGCTCCTCTTTCTCAGACTAAAACTTCAACCATGAACTAAAAACAGGAAGAAAAAAAAGTATTTAGTTGTAAAGTTGATTTTTTTGGGGGACTTTGTTTTGAGAATAAAAGTTTTTTTTGTTTTTGTTAAACATGTTTTAAGAATAAAACACTTCCCCTCTCTAATGGGCTTTTAAATGACCTTTGACCCCTCAGATAGTTACGCCCAACGGGCAGCGGTCCGGGCAGCTCTGGCACAGGACCCCTCCTGGATCTCTGAGTACATCTCAAAGGCCTTACCCATGCTGACATCTCAGGACAACGAGGTTATGTACCTGGTACCTTGGAGTTGCCTGCAGAAGCCGCTGCAGGAGGGTGGTAAGTCCCACCCCCACACGGCTGCACATGACATCATCATGCTGACCTGAATCTAACTGCATGTGTTTGTGTTTCAGGCGTGTACGAGTTGGTTTCCTTCCAGATGCGTCCCGGGGGTCCGGCAGTGTGGGGCAGCAGCTTCCAGGCTGCCATCACCTCCCGTGATGTACCGGGGTACGGAAGGCTACTGGGGGCGTTCCACAGTGAGTTCGGCCTGCAGAACCGAGGTATGAGAGGTCACACATCACCTGACAGCTTTCAAGTTCAAACAGGAAGCAGTGTGATGTCATCAGTGGCAAACAGGAAGCAGTTTGATGGCATCAATATTAAACAGGAAGCAGTTTGATGGTGTCAGTATAAAACAGGAACCAGTCTGACGGCATCAATATTAAACAGAAAGCAGTTTAATGGCGTCAGTATAAAACAGGAAGCAGTCTGATGGCATCAATATTAA